ACCTAACCTAACCTAACCTAATCTAACCTAACCTAACCTAACCTAACCTAACCTAACCTAACCTAACCTAACCTAATCTAACCTAACCTAACCTAACCTAACCTAACCTAACCTAACCTAACCTAACCTAATCTAACCTAACCTAACCTAACCTAACCTAACCTAACCTAACCTAACCTAACCTAATCTAACCTAACCTAACCTAACCTAACCTAACCTAACCTAACCTAACCTAACCTAACCTAACCTAATCTAACCTAACCTAACCTAACCTAACCTAACCTAACCTAACCTAACCTAACCTAACCTAACCTAATCTAACCTAACCTAACCTAACCTAACCTAAGCTAACCTAACCTAACCTAACCTAACAGGGCAGTTAAAACAGCCCATGAAATGCATCGACTCAACTGACAAAGCTTTAATTCCCTGTTACCACGTAACAATAATGAAGAAATGGAATAATCACTACTGGAAACAGAACAGATCTTCAGAAAGATACATAAAAATGTATCCATAACTGTTATATCTCACAATACTAAGAATGTCCGATCAAATCAGGACCATAAATTGGAATAATAGCGTCCAGAATTAGCAGAAAACAAAAGACCAAGGTTTAGACGTATTTAGAGATAAAGAAGCCATCTTTCCAACTACCAAAGCTCAGTATCACTAATTCTTTGGAAGAAATCCAGTAGCACTCGAATTTTTTTACACTGAACAAAATGCATTTATTCAAATGCAGTTATAAATAAAATATAAACTTAGAAACATCATAAAGTTGCTAAATTTCTAATACTGAAACAGACAGACGTTCTGAACTTAATATTATAGTTACCTAAATTTTCGCTTTTATTCGTAGGCTCTTTGAATCCTCTAGACCAGCGTTTCTCAACCTATGGTACGCTTACCACTGGTGGTACGCGAACCAAGTAAGAAAATCAAAAGATAATATTAACATAAATTTGATTGGTGTTAAATTAGAATTAGTGATACGCCAACGAAAAAGGTTGAGAACCCCTACATCAGAATTAATAAAAATGTATTTGGTTTTTTTCAATCAAAATTTATACACGCTATTACAAATAAAATTATAATAATTGATGAAACTCTATTATGTTTAAAGTAATAGTCGCCTTCCGGTAACGTTATATTATTATTAGATTACTAAAATTGATTTTTATATTAAAAATATATTAAGAATAGTATATTTGTAGAATGTATATTTCACGTGGATTTTTAAAATATTTAAAGTCTAATGAAATGTCATCACTTAATAGTTTAGATGTGAGGTCACCTTTTTATAAATCATTACTGACTGGGCCATTCCGCAATCTCATGTGGCGTCATCCTTCAGCATTATTGTTCTTGCTTTCTGGCATGAGTAGAAAGAAGACCTGTTGAATTAAGGCGTTTCTTTGTTCAGGTATTGCAGAAAAACTTGAGCATCTGAAGGACCTGGGCGTTGGCGGAGTATGGCTGTCACCTATCTTCAAATCGGCGATGGCCGATTTCGGCTACGACATCTCAGATTTCAGAGACATCGATCCTGTGTTCGGAACACTGGCACACTTGGACGTTCTTCTGATCATAGCAAATCTATCGGGTAAGTGACGCGGTCTAGAACGCGTGAAGTGAGTGATTACACTTGTTTCGTAAAATAAATTTTCATATTAATATTAATAATTCAAATGTTAATTAATTGTTTCACAGAATAATGAACAACTGACCTAAATATGCAAAACACTACGAAGATCAAAAGGAACACCTACAAAAGAAATCTACAAAACAAATAAATCAATAAAAGCTTGCATTAATAGATATATATTAGTTTTAAAGATAAAAATAACAACAAAAGACCTGAAGATGATGCAATAGCATCGAAACATGTCGTAAAATAATAAGAGCTGAAATTGTAACATCGAAATAACGATGAAAAGCGCTAAATTTTAATTTTAACAACAACATTTTAAAAAAACTAAGTTTGTGTATAGACTGAAATAATAAATAAATATATACTGAATTTTAACACAAACATGACGCATCTAAACTATAAACTATAAATTAGTCCTTGTTCGAATTTTTTTTTTGAAATGTTAGAAAGCTTTCCAAGTTTACAAATAACGTTCGGTGGGTTTAAATATAGGAGCCCGATGACATTCGTTTATTTTTCAGGTGACATCTAATTGCATCCCACACTATATTTTCTATCGGCTTGTTTTGGGGGCTAATACTAGTAAAAATGTCTATTACATAAATGCCACAAAGAAAAGATAAAGTAACTCCCTAAGATGAGTGTAAACAGGCTGATATAGAGAAAAAATCAGAGAGAACGAAGCATGATTTTATGTGTCGCCAGCAGAGCGCAGCACTAAATCATAATATATAAATAATAAATCGTAAAATGTATCAGAGTTCGAGAACAGAAATAAATAAAAAATACGTTCACGATGAAGTTAAAGGCAGATGCAATTTCAAGAGGATTTTGCATCAAAAGTACAAAGAATTTGCTGTTTCACAATAGTTAAATGCTTCAAAATTTCGAAATGGTTTACGTTTAAATTAATTCATAATCGTTGCAGACATTAGAGTGATTTTGGACTTCGTACCTAACCACTCCAGTGACGAACACGAATGGTTCGTGAGGTCCCTCCAGAGGGAGGAACCATTTACGAACTATTACACGTGGCACGACGGGAGAGTCGACACGGCTGGAAACAGGATTCCGCCAAACAACTGGGTAAGTCCTGGGAGTATGCAAGATGGCGCCCCGATGCAGAACATCTTTTATTAAATGTAATACGTAACAATGTTAGTCCATCTTGCGACAAAGTAGTCCCATTTACTTAATAATTAACGATTCTACATACTAGTTGAATAATAAAATCGATTAAATAACGAGTAACACGTTTACGCTAAACAGCCATCCATTCATAATTTAAACTGCATTTGTTAAAACGATAAGTCGTTTCTGTATACGCAAATACAGTAGCAGATTCCTCAAATCAGTTTTATTACTGAAGACATTGGGAATTAGAAGTCAGACTTGATTAAAATGCAAAATATTTATAATTATATTAAAATGCTTATCTAAGTGACCACGTGGATACCGGGATATGTTCAAGGCGTTGACGTGTGTCCTCGCCTTACTGCCTTGCGCTGTCCTGTGCAGACAGGAGTCCTTGAGACTGGCTGATAAATCGTCCAAAGGAGTCCTGTCAAATATCCAAACTGATTCATAATTTCAGAAGTAATTCTGAGTTGGAACAAGTCACAAGGCCTAATCCGTAGTAGTTGATGGTGATAATATTAAACTTAAAAAAAAACTTATAACGATTGCATCCAACCTACAAGTAATAATTTACTCGAGAAATGTTTGATTACGATTTATTGTACCAACTTATAACACTAAGCTAAAGCAAGATAGTAACCTTTCATAAGATATTTATCACGTTGGCTGCAGTGTTAACGCCATGTGTTTGTGTCTTCCAGCAAAGCGTGTTTGGGGGTCCGGCCTGGACATGGCGTCCGGAAAGAAACCAGTATTACCTGCACCAGTTCGACCCCAAACAACCCGACCTCAACTATGGAAACCCGCTTGTTGTCGAGGAAATGAAGGTGGGTACTCGGGGCCCTTCGCCCTAGCGGACCAGAGCGCTGCAGTGGCGGGTTAGGTTAGTTACGTAAGATTTGAGGTTTTCACGGCGGTGAGTCTGAACATGGCTGTCCTCTAGGTTGTTGCGCCGTGTTCACCGACGTTTCAGAGGTCCTTGCTGCCTCCGCCCATATTCATTATGTGCCTCTTGTTACAAGAATTGCAGTGTCAATTTTCAGTACATGCAAATTTTTACGTCACGCGACTCGGTAAAGTCTCTTGCTGGTCTTCTTTCGAGCTCTTGGTATGGAAATAAAGTGCCAATGCAATGTATTCTGTGCATTAACCGACTAAGCGGCACTTTCTGGTTTGATTGTATAAATTCTTTGTGAAATAATTGCAATTGAGTACAGTCACGTTTAAAAATGAGGCCACACAATGACGCGTACGAAAAAAATTGAAAAAAAGGAAGAACGAATTTTTAATTCAGTCCTCAAGTATCGTGTCATTTCAGTCCTGTTTGTTCATGAGATTTTATTAACTTTTTCATATTTTTTTATAATCATTGTCATACCGCGATTAAGTAAATGAAGCCAGATAATCACTGGCGAACCTCTGATCTAACCCACACGTTTACATCCTATTTATGAGGTACAATTTTAATATTATCCCGACATCTACACATAGATTTTTCAAATGACCCTTCTCATCAATCTTTGTGACTAAAACGTATTAATTTATCGTCTCTCCAACGTCCTAATTTGGGTGTGATGTCTCCTGACATCCACTTAAGAATCCTTTACCTTCTTATACCCAATCTAAATTTTTAAACATTAAAATACAAATAACTACAAATTTACACGTTTTTTTCAAGTGTCCATAAATTTATTTAAGAAGGAAGTAATGAGAAGAATTTTGGACTTAAAATAGACGAGGTCACTGGAGAATTGAGATAATTATGTGATGAGGAACTTTGTAGCGGAGGTTTTCAAATCAAGGGGCATGAGATGGACTGGGCATGTAGCAGGAGAGCGAGAAAGATCCTCAATGACGAGGTCCAAACGTGGTTTCCTTCATTCCTTAAGGAAAAACTACAAGGGACTAACCAAACAACCAACTAACGAAGGAAGTTCAGGGCGCAGAGCGCTGTTTGAGAAGCAATTTCATCCCCAGGAATCTACTTTAAAAAACAGGCCGGGACATGTTCCTTTCACGACGTATTTGAATTTGTCATTCATGATCAGATTATCACTGGATGATAACACATCCAGTCGATAAACTGTCAATAAATGTTTCAATATGTAATCGTCCAAGGCTGCGTGCCGTAGAGAGACTTATCACATGTTTGGTAATCAAAATATCGATCTCTTGATTGAATAATGGGTTCAAGATCTGTTCATTTGAGCTAAAAACACTTCAGGCAGTGGACAATGTTCAACCTACTTAAAGATTATTAATTTTAATCTTGTTATTGAATCGTATTTATCAGTGTGAAGTATTAAATACACTTCAACAGGGATACGGAAATCCTGTCCTACAATTCCCATATTTTAACGTTTCGTGAGCACATTTCTTAATGTCACGCCAAAGACTCGACAAGAAGCGAATTAAAGAAAGAATTTCATTGGTCCATCACCGCGTTTATATACTCGATCGTCATGCTGATTTGAGTGCGTCAGTAAAATCTTAATTGGTTGAAGGTAGCGAAGATGACACTCGAAACGATCAGGGAGGGGACGGAGGGAGGAATGGGCATGCTCAGGTCCTATCTGTTGACGAAGTATGTATGTAAGCCGAGCTATGAGAGCTAACAGAGAAGAATAGGGAGAGTGTAGGGGAAGACGAAGTTCCCGAAACAGGCTTCGTCAGGAGCATGGCCTACGACGACGCCTGTCGTCAACGAAACTCTTTCAGAAAATCTAGTTTGTTGCCTATTTTTATTTTTATCTTAATTTTATAGTTTATCTTTTTTTTCATAACTTGCTATGTTTATTAAACATATTTCATATTTCATGATTTGTTTTCTAAACCATTTTTTTAAACCAATTTTAAACTATTTTGATTAAATTAATTAATTTCCCTGTTGCCACTGATGATGATTTCTTTTTTATAGTGTGAATAGTTTGTTTGTTTGTTTGTTTGATTATTTTATATTGCTATGTTTAATCTGTTATTAGGCAGCTTGTCATTGTTTAATCTATAACCAGTCTCTCCGTTATAGAATATGACTTACTTGTTTTAATTGAATAAATTTAATAAAAATTCAAGTTTGGATTTTCAAGGCTGTAAGATTTACTACAGACTTTAAATCTGTAAAGGATTATGTCGAAACGGATGCTCTGAGTAGATGAATGGGCTATCACTCGACTTCAGACGTGTAACAGCTGATCTTGTACAGAATGTGCTCCGTTACTGGCTGGACAAGGGCGTGGACGGGTTCCGCGTTGATGCCGTTCCGCACCTGTTCGAAGGACCCATAGACGCGCCTGATTCGGAGACGTCAGCCCCTACGCATCTCCCAGAGACCTACGAGATGGTGGCCGAGTGGCGGAAAGTAATGGACGAGAAAAGCGTCGAATATGGACGGACAAAGTAAGAGAACGACCAATTTTTGTTATATTTCAATCAAAAGTTATGTTGTTCTCTATTATACATTAATTTAAAATAAATACAAGGTTTAACTGATGTATTATATAGAATTTTAACTGTAACTGTTTGGTACAGGGTGTTAATGCTGGAAACATACGGAACTATTAACCAGACGATGGGCTATTATGGAACGGATGATGCTCCAGGCGGACATTTCCCCTTTAACTTCCGGTTAATTACAGACATAAATAAATTGTCAACAGCTGAAGATTTCAGCAGAACTATTAACGAATACTTGGACGTTATGACGGATGGACGTACGCCAAACTGGGTGGTAAGTGAGAACGACTGTGTTACGTAGAATTACGTAGATCAGAGAGATAAAGAAATCGACTCGTATATTTTCATTGTATTTTAGTTTACTGATGATGTATTCGATGTGAGTGGTAATACCAAGAAATTTACCACTTCGAAAAATGCTGTCATGCGACTGATGGTTATTTTACTGCAACTTTTCAAAAGACTTATTGGATAGAAGTAATAATTTCTAGGATATTTATCTGCGTTGTTTAAAATACGTACTTTATATAATATTGAATACGATTGGAGGATGATTATTAAAGGTGAGTAGGGGAAGAATTTGGCTGTAATATTTATGTATTCGTTGGGAGAGGATCAGGAATGTTGGTGAAGAAAATGGGTCATCATAGACGGTGACCCGGCTAAGATTGGAACCGAGTATCTTTCAGATACAAATATAGAATTTTGCACATAATCCAACCACTTCAGATGATGTATGCATTGATGCAAAATGCAGTTAAAAATGTACAAACAGATAGGAAGATATGGACACACGTGCACACGAAGAATCATAGGTCAGAATGTAGGTAAGACGTGTGAAGTCAGCGCTCTCTGTACTTTGGCATGGCCAGAGCTCCCAGCTGTTCTGATCAGCTTAGACGATGACGTTAACAAAAGAACTGCAGCTCATTCGCGTTGTTTTGATCATTATTATCAATAAGAATCACGAGCATAAATTTTAACCGTTACCATCGTCATATCAGGTCCTTTTATTGGCCAGAGTGGACTTCGTCCATCCGCCATTTTGTTCTCACCGATTTCCAGAAGTTAAATGTCGGATGGCCTGTAATAGCATAATGCCATATTTTGTCAGAATCGATTTATCGGCTCTAGAAATGAAAAATACGGACAGAGGCTATCGTCTATGTTATGCGCACCGTGAAAATAACTCGTAGTAATGAAATGAGCGGGGCATCTATAGCGCATGCGCGAGAAGAGAAATGGATATAGGTTTCTTATTGAAAAGTTTTTTAGGGAGTTGATATAATTGCGTCATATTGTGAATTAAAATTTAATTATTCGTGTTTTTTCCGTCTAATCACAATTGTATATAAATAAAATTATACATAAGATATTAAAATATCATTTACATATTTGGTACAACTTTTTACTACATGTTTCGGTTACATTGAACCATCTTCAGGTGTAAAGTTAAAAGTTAAAAATTATAATCTTATAAACTAAAACTTAATTACTGTTGTTGTGTAACTTCTGATGATGTTTACTTCCAAATTCATTGGAGTGAGGGTATATTTTGAAGTGATAGTGGTTTATAATTTATAATTTTTAACTTTTAACTTTACACCTGAAGATGGTTCAATGTAACCGAAACATGTAGTAAAAGTTGTACCAAATATGTAAATGATATTTTAATATCTTATGTATAATTTTATTTATATACAATTGTGATTAATTAAATTTTCATTTGAGATTGAGTTTAGGGAAATCGATTTTGAAGATAGGAGGTGGTTGTAACTGACCCGTATCCAGTGATGGGCTCTGAAATCAGATTCGTTGAACGCTGGGGTCAGTCACTTCTTACGCAGTCAACCTCAGACGGAGAGGTCACTTCTGAGTTGCTTTCGTAAACCGAGAACAACACCGGATCCAACATGATGGGATGGATTGCAACGGAAGGCTTATCTGAACTCGATATTGGAAATGGCTGTTTTATGGGTTGTTGTGCCGTGTAGTCTGTTACGAGTTCACCAACGTTTCCGTGATACATTCTGCCTCCATTATCAGGGAGATGAAAACTCACGAAAAGAAAACTTCGGTAATTTCTTCACTGTCTGGCCTCAAGAAGGCATCTTCCGCGAAGAATATTATGTTTAAGAGGCCGCTTCGTTATCAGTCGGTAAATTACTCAATTTAATCCTCCAGGACTCGCGTTGTGAGCGCAGCGCCGCATTTTCAGTAAACGTCTGATAACTCTTTCTAGGAAATTTTTTCTATCCTGTCGCTCGATCTATGTTAAGAGGAAACCCCCTTCCATGGAAATTTCAAAGGAAAAATTTCTAGCTACGACTGTAGACCCACTTTGTTCAGTTTACTTGTAGAATTCTGATAGTGCGGCGGCCCGCTCACACGCGAGTGTTTGTGTTCCAAAGTGAATTGTTTTTAAGTTTGGGTTAATTTCGTCTCTATTGGTCACGTTTACCAATAATGGCTTCTAAAACAAGAT